TCATAGTCTGGAGTAAATGTCAGGTACATAGTGACAACGGTGTCTCAAACTGTCCCTTCTCCCATTTGAGTTTTTAACCATAGGAAACCAGACCTTGAGTCAACAACTACACTTCAAGCTTTAAAAGCCCCAACATCTTTGAAGGGCCTTTCAAAAATGGATAGAAAGAGATACCTTTCCTGGGTTGCTAACAAATTAGCATGTTTGTGTTTCTCAGATTCAGTGAATGAAGTTGTCTTATTTTGTGTGTTTTCCTTCCGCAGGCTGTCCAAATATTGATTGGGGTGATCCACATTTGCTTTGGGGCTGTCTCGCTTTGTCTCTTTTCTTCTTACTATTTTACCTTGTCTGGAATTGGAGGTTACCCCTTTTGGGGAGGGATATTTGTAAGTATGTGTGAATTTTTGTTGAGTCATGCACCATTGTAGTAATGGCTAATGGAGACTTAAAAAAGTTCTTGTTTGCACTGGAACCTCCCTAGCCTCTCATGGGTGTCATCATTTTGTGATAATTTCTCTCTTTTATTTCCAGTGAAAATACAATCATTTGTTTTTCTTTTTCCATAGTTTATTTCTTCTGGATCACTTTGTGTAGCAGCTGAGAAACATCCAAATCGTCATTTGGTGAGAAACCTGTGTAGCATTTGAATTTATTTTATGCTGTTTCTTTGTAACACCTCAGGACCTTTTATTGTGTCTGTTCTCTTCAGATACTGCTCACTCGTAAGTCAACATTTAGAAAGGAAAAGAAAAATCAAAAGCACCCCCCCATCTTCCTTCTTTGTTCAACTTTTGCTTCCAAGCTTTGCTTTCATCAAAAGTTCTATGTCAACAATAGAGAATGTTGAACCATCCAGAATTTGAGCCTCCCTTGGTCCCCATTCTGTGATGGGTTTCTTGCTAAGTTCCCTTCCTGATGTGCAACCTGCAACACTGCAAATTCTATCAGTTCCATGACGAAAATGAGAGAAGCCTGAGAGAGTTAATGACCATGATGTGGGTGCTTGTTCTACCAGAGCTTCCTTAGTTGCTACTAGTAATGGTGCTAGTCCTGAGCAAAGAGGTGTCTTCTTGAGTTCCCTAGTCTTGAACCAGACCTCCAACATTATTCCTTCTCCTCCTCCTCAACAGAGGGTCCAGTTTCAGAAGTATTCCTACATAAAAGCAACATTAGAAAGAAGCCGAGCATGTTAGGAGTAGAAGTATGGAACTAGAGTGGGAATCCTCCTGGGAATCAAAGGAAGGAGAGAGCTGATGGTAGCCCTCCTACAAAGAGCTTGCTTTCTCTCCCCCCCACCCCACCCTTGATTTAAAGTGTGTTCATGGCAACATAGAAATGTTTTTGTCTTGTAAAGTAACACAGTGTGGATCCAAGAGAAGAAAAATGACCATCTTGATAGAAAAATACTACATTTTCTGATAGGAGAGAACTAAAAACAGACCAATTTTTTTATGTCCAGAATTCTCACTACTGGATCCAAGGGTTTCTCCATTCCCATCTCTCTAGTTTCCTCTCTGTAATGTTGTACAGCTAAAAGAGCATTTAACATTACTGCTTAGAGTGCATTGTGTCCTAGAAGAAACAGTGTGTGATTTCTTTAACCAAAATGTTAAGGGTGAATAATCCTTACCAGTTTTCCTGTCACTGTTAACCACCTGGCCTTCAATGGAGGCTGACATCCAGAAACAGAGAGAAGGAATTTGACACTGTTAGAAAAGCCCTCAAATGAATTTGTCTTTCCACTGTGGAAAACTCTGTTGTTGCTATTTGATTCCTGTGATCTTAATGGATGTGGTCTGGTTTTATCACTGATTGGCTATGTGTCATTAAGCACACACATAGATTGAATTCTGTCACTGCTTTTACCATAGTTGGGGCTAATTGGTTCTATGCTTTGCATAAACCTATGCTGTAACATAATGACACTGTAACTGTAATTTCTCTCTCTCTGGTGTATTGTTGTTTCAGGTAAAATCCAGTGTAGGAATGAACATCACAAGTGCTATCATGGCATTAACTGGTATCATGCTCTATATATCTGAGTTGATCGGCAATACTAATCCTGTACATAACATTACAGTTATAATAGTAAGTAAACCAATCTCTTCTTAAATTTTGGCTTCATGTGCAGAATCCAGAAGGAGATTATATATGCAGCCAAGATATCCCAGACCCTTTGGCTTTTGTTTGAAATCTTTCCTTGAGTAAATCTCAGTCACAAAGGTATATCTATTCTATTTCATTAGACACACACACACACACACACACACACATATCATTTGACAATATTCCTGTAAACATTTGGTTGTTTTACAGAAGGGCTTGAGTACTCAGCCAAAATAAAAGAGTGCTTGAGAATTCTATATAGCATAGAATACAGCTGCACATATTGAAATCTATACCAGGTTTTCCTGCCACCCCTACATCCTCATCCCTTCTTTACATTTGCCACCCAGTTTTAAAAAATAGAAATTTAGGTAAGTTCTGAAGTGTGGACAGTTTAGAACCACACCAATACCTGGAATTAGACTTGATATTGTAGTATTTTGTAAAGTCCTGCCCTTTGCTTTCTAATGAGGGTTAAATCATAGTATCACATCCAGGGCTTTTCTCTTTTCCAGCCTGACAGATGCTTGAAAAGAAGTTGGGTAAAGAAAATAGATCTTACTGCATCCCTATTGAGAAGGAGAAAACAATATATGTTACAATGGCTGATTCTAAATCACATTGCTGCCCTTAACCATATTCTGTTGAAACCAATTTCCCCAATTTCCCCATGAGGTTATCTTTACCTTGTCCTCAGCCCATGAGCAAGACTCCAAGCCTTAAGTCATCATTAGCTGTACTGGTATAAAACTAGTCTTTTCCTCTCCTCTTCTTTTGAGCCCATCCAACACAGCCTCAAGGTGTATAAAATCTATTTCCCTTCCCCCATTATCTTCGAGAAAAAGTCGGGTAACCAAGAGTCGATATGTTAGGACAGTAGAGGGGCCTATCAATTTTCTTCTTTGGACTAGTCAGCCTCTTTCTCCTTTTCCCTTTAGCACTTTGTTTCTTGAGTTTTCCTGTCCATCCCTTTGTTTCTTGAGTTTTCCTGTCCATCCATCCATCTCCTCTTTCATCCCAAAGGTGCTTTTTCAAGTGGCAACTGGACGTTCTCTGTGACTAGATGGTGGCCTCAACAACTTCTAAAAGGATGCAAACAACCAACTGTCTGCAAGGAGTATAAATCCTTCCCTTCCCCACCACCCAGTCAGAGCTGAAGAAGCTTCTTGGAAGAGAAGCAAAATGTCTCCACAGGAAAACAAGAAAGTCCAGTTGCCTCTTGAAAAAACACCTTTGGGACAACCATGACCTGGATGACTGAGAATCTTCCTAAACACTCTCCTCCATTACTTCTCTCCAGGCAACAGGAAAACAGACACTCCAAACTTCCCATTGGGAAATGGAGGGCAAGCAAATTGCATCTATTTACTTTGATAGTGACATAGGTAGCATCTAAAGTTGATAAATCAGCAAAATAAATCTCTTTATAGTATTGTTTAATCTCTCTGTTCATCCCTGGCAGAGAAGATGGCTTCAGCTATTCTCAACCAGGGTGAACTGGTATTACGAATACATGAAGGTAAATATGATATAGTTGGAATAACAGAAACTTGGTGGGATGAAACCCATGACTTGAACATACTGGTAGAAGGATACAAACCATTAAAAAAAACAGACCCCATAAAAGAGGAGGTGGAGTTGCACTGTATGTAAAGGACCACTATATTGCTACAGAAATGCATGAAACCAAAGATGAAAACCTCCTAGTATGCATATGGGTCAACATAAAAGAAAAAAAGAATGACATGGCCATAAGTGTATATTATAGGCCACCCAATCAAGCAGAAAAAATAGATGTCTTTTTTGCCAGCCAACTAACAAACATATGCAGGAAACACACAACAATAGTAATGGGAGACTTCAATTATCCTGATATCAATTGGAAAACTAATTTTGCACCAAGTGAGAAATGAAATAAGTTCCTAACCAACCTAGCTGACAATTTTGTTGTCCAAAAGGTAGAGGGTGAAACTAGAGGGACAGCCATACTGCACTTAATTCTTACAAACAGAGAAGAAGTGATAGAGGGAATTGAAACTGCAGGAACCTTGGGTGAGAGTGACCATGTCATACTAGAATTCAGCCTAACACAAACACAAGCAACAGAACATAATGACACCAGAGTCTTGGATTTTAAAAGAGCTGATTTCAATAAACTCAGAGAGAACTTGGGAAAGATTCCATGGATGAAAATCCTAAAGGGGAAAACAACTCAAGAATCTTGGGAAACTCTAAAAAGTATGATCATAGAAGCCCAGACCAGCACAATACCACTGAGAAAGAAAAAGAAGAAATCCAAGAAGAAACCAGCATGGCTGCACAAAGATCTCTCTGGCAGATTGAAAGAAAAAAAGGACAAGTACAAAAAAATGGAAAGAAGGACATACAACTAAGGCAGAATATCAGCAGATAGCCAGAATCTGCAAAGACGAAGTCAGGATAGCAGAGGCTCAGAACGAACAAAGACTTGCAACAAAAGTCAAAGATAATAAAAAAAAAGTTTCTTCCAACATATAAATAACAAGAAAAAAATCAAGGAAACAGTCGGTCCACTAAAGAGAGAAGATGGCAAGGAAGTAACAGGCAACAGAGAGAAAGCAGAACTGCTTAACTCATTCTTTGCATCCGTCTTCATGCAAAAAGAAACTATAGCTCAACCCACCAAAAACATAACTGTAAAAGACAGACCAGAAATAAAAATTAAAATAAGTTAAAAAAAAATAGTAAGAGAACACCTGTCTGATCTTGATGAAAACAAATCACTGGGGCCTGATGAATTATATCCGAGAGTTTTAAAGGAGCTGGCAGAGGTCATCTCAGAACCACTGCACCTTATCTTTCAAAAATCCTGGAGCACCGGGAAACTACAGAAGACTGGAAAAGAGCTGATGTGGTTCCCATCTTCAAAAAAGGGAAAAAAACAGACCCAGGAAACTATAGACCAATCAGCTTAACATCAATACCTGGGAAGATACTGGAAAAGATAATAAAAAAACAGATCTGCCAACATCTAGAAACAAGTAAAGTAATAACTAGCAGTCAGCACGGGTTTGTTAAGAACAGATCATGCCAAACCAATTTTATTTCATTCTTCAACACAGTGACTAAATTAGTAGACCAGCAAAATACTGTGGACATAATATATTTAGATTTCAGCAAGGCATTCAACAAAGTAGACTACAATCTACTTCTTAATAAGCTAGAAAAAAGTGGAATAGATAGCATCACTACTAGATGGACTCACAACTGGCTGACAAACCATACTCAATGAGTAGTCCTTAATGGGTCTAAGTCTACATGGAGGGAAGTAAGCAGTGGGGTGCCACAAGGTTCCGTCTTAGGCCCAGTACTCTTAAATATCTTCATTAACAACTTAGATGAGGGAATAGAGGGGGAACTTACCAAATTTGCAGATGATACTAAGCTGGCAGGAATAGCTAACACCCAAGAAGATAGGCTCAAGATCCAGATGGATCTTGACAGACTAGAACACTGGGCCATATCTAACAAAATGAAATTCAATGTAGAGAAAAGTAAAGTCCTACACTTAGGCAAGAAAAACCAAAAGTACACATATGGACTGGGTGAAACCAGGCTCGATAGCAATAACTGTGAGAGGGATCTTGGAGTCCTAGTGGACAACCAGCTAAATATGAGCCAGCAGTGGGCAGCAGCAACCAAAAAAGCTAATGCAATCCTAAATTGTATTAACAGAGGGATACAATCAAGATCAAGGGAAGTACTAATACCACTCTATAAAGCCTTAGTAAGACCTCACCTAGAGTACTGCATCCAGTTTTGTTCACCACATTATAAAAAAGATGTTGAGACTCTAGAAAAAATTCAGAGAAGAGCAACCAGGATGATTAGGGGACTGGAGGCTAAAACAAATACAACGAATGGTTGCAAGAACTGGGCTTGGCTAATCTAGTAAAGAGAAGAACCAGGGGAGACATGATAGCGGTCTTCCAATATTTGAGAGGCTGCCACAGGGAGGAAGGGGTCAAGCTATTTTCTAAAGCACCTGTAGGCCAGACAAGGAATAATGGATGGAAACTGAAGAAGGAGAGATTTAACCTAGAAATAAGGAGAAACTTTCTGACAGTGAGAACAATCAACCAATGGAACAGCTTGCCCTCAGAAGTTGTGGGAGCGCCATCACTTGAGACTTTCAAGAAGAGATTGGACTGCCATTTGTCAGAAATGGTGTAGGGTCTCCCACTTGGGCAGAGGGGTTGGACTAGATGACCTACAAGGTCCCTTCCAACTCTGATTATCTGTATCTGTATCTCTCAGATCTTCTGCCTTGCAGGAAACCTCTACTTGTGGAAGAAGTTGTCTTCTTCTTCTCAGAAGATTTGTAGTGCTTGGGCTATCAGTACCCAATGTCTTTTGATATGTATCTTTATTTTATGTTATATTTAACTTGAGAGATGCCCAAACTGAGGGCGGAAGGAAGGTACAGCAGATATCCCATTTCTGTTGTAGTATCCTGAGTGATGGATGTTTTCCTTATTGACTGATGATATGCTGAAAATGGTTGGCAGCGAAGTCAGAGGAAAAAAACAGTCTGTAACAGGTGGGATTTTTAGAAGTCAGGGAAGGACAATAGCATTCAAGAGTAAATCAGAACAGGTGCAACAATGGGCAGGAAAGGGGCTGGCCATAGAGACTAGGCATTTGATGCCTTCATTATTTATGGTGTTAACACAAAGATAAATTACACACGCCAGTTTGTTAGATCCAGGAGATTCCACACATTGAATACAGGGCTCTTCCAAAGCAACAGCTGCAAATCAGAATCTATCTGAATGATTGTAAATGGTTCTGGGTTACAGGAACAAAGATGGTGTATTTCCCAAATAAGGAAAATATGCAGGTGCAGCAGTGGTGGGATTCAATTTTTTTTAATACCGGTTATGTGGGCGTGGCTTGGTGGGGGTGGCAGGGGAAGGATACTGTAAAATCCCCATTCCCTCTCCACCCCGCTAACCTGCTTTCCAGCTCCATTCTCCTGTGCAGGGTAACAAAGGAAGACCCAGCTGTTCAGCTGGGACTCGGGAAGCAGAGAATAGATGAGGGCAATGCCAGTCAGAGGTGGTATTCCAAACTACTCAAAACTTCCACTACCGGTTCTCCAGAACTGGTCAGAACCTGCTGAATAACATCTCTGAGGTACAGAATGAATTAGTTTGCTTTCACTGCTGTGGGTTCTGCCCTTTGTGATCCTTGGGTAATTCAGAAGAACATGCACCCAAAATGTTCCAATGTGTTTGGGTCATCATGACCTGCACCCCTTGTTGTGGGGAAGATGTCCCTTTAAAGAAGGAAGTAAGCAAAAGGAAGCATCTTTCACTGACATGCAAAACTGGAGTGATCGCTGGGTACCTGGCCAGCAGAATGTCAGGAGCCTAGAATTAGGAAAGATTATGGGTTAAATACCCTGAGAACATGAGAATAAGAATGATAAAGTAATGTGCATCATACTATGGCCTTCACAGCTGGGAGGTAATCGCACAGTACTATGGAATGTCCTTGCCATGGTCTGACTCAGGGCCTCCAACTTCCTCATTCCTCCAAGGACTCCAATCTGAGCTTCTTCTAACACTACTTCCACTGTCTAGCATGAACAATATCCTTTGGCTGGATTGGTTAGGACAGCTGAGAATTTCTGCATTGGCAAAACTAATGTTTTAGACTGAGAATTGGATTCTCTGCTTCGTCCTACATAAACCGCATTTTGTGATGCATAAAGAAGAAATAAGGCTCCGGTGAAATACAGCTATTGTGCAATGATTTAGCTTTATGTATGGATCTGATATGAGGCTGATCCCCATTTGATTCTCAGTGATATCTGGAATTCCCCTTTAGAATTTCTGCAAAACGTAAGAGATGCTAATAACGTTCCCTGATACGGTTTTCCCATATCACACAGGCTATACAGGCAGTCTTTAATTTAGCGACCATTCAAAGTTTCAGTGGCACTCAAACCTATGACTCCTCCTTGCATTTATGACCATTGCAGTATCCCCACAGTCACATGAGCAATTTATTTAGGACAGTTGCAGCATCCCCTTTGCGACTTTCCCAGCCAGCCTCTGATCGGCAAAGCCAGCAGGGGTGGGGAAGCTGGATTCACTTAAGAACTATATGATTCTCTTAATTGCAGCGATTTGCTTAACAACAGTGGCAGAAAAGATAAAATTATGCATGGCTCACTTGAAAACCGCTCTGTTTAGCAGTGGAAATTCTGGTCCCAATTGTGGTTGTAAGTTGACCTGTTACAGTGTCTCTGTTTTTCCCAATACAGTTGTTCCTCCCAGTTTTTTCCCAGGGGAGCAGGTGGGAGTCCCTTTTTTAAAAAAATTAAATTTTATTAGTGAAACAAAAGGAAAAACATTTAAAAACAATGAACGTGGTGCATACATCCCGACACACCTATTTGTCTTACATCACCAAATAACATAAATAACAAATGATACAAATTTATATATATAAACTTTAGTCATCTTTGATACACTTATTCCTTTCTTTTTTTCAACCAGTGGTAAAACTGCTCCCAAATTTTGTAATAATCAGATTCAGTTTTATTTTTTAATTCGTGAGTAACTCTATCCATTTCAGCACACATCCAAATTTTCCTAATTATTTCCATCTCGTCTGGCATTTCATTACCTTTCCATCTTTGGGCAAAGGCTAACCTTGTAGCAGTGGTGACATGTATTATTAAATATGTTATTTCGTTATTATATTCTCCCACATTGATTCCAAGTAAAAAGATTTCAGGTCTAAATTCTATTTTAATTTTACACATCTCTTCTATCCAGTTTCTAATTTTCAACCAATATGTTTGGGCTTCTTTGCAATTCCACCATAAGTGATAATATATTCCAATTTCTTTATTGCATTTCCAGCATTTAGGGGATAGTTTCGGATACATTCTTGCCAATTTTGATGGTGGGATGTGCCATCGGTAAAACATTTTATATAAATTTTCTTTATAAGATGCGGCCAAGGTTATTTTTTTATTTCTATCCCATAGGATTTGCCAATCATCCAAATGTATGCCATATCCAAAATCTTTCATCCAGACCAATATTGTTTCTTTTACTTTTTCCTCTTCCAATTTGCATTCCAATAGCACTTTATAAATTTTTAAAATCAATTTCTCATCTTTTCCTAATAGTATTTTGTCTAATTCGGTTTTCTGCCCACTAATTCCCCATTCTTTCATATCTTTACCATACCTCAATTGTAGTTGCAAATAAGCCCACAATTCTATCTCAAATCCTAAGTCTTTCAACTCTTGTCTCGTTTTTAGTTCTCTCTTCTCATCCAATATATCCTCATATGTAATGACCTCCCCTTGACAAAGTAGATATGGGTACATTAAGCTTCTAACGTAGATAACCAAGTTGGTATTTCAACGTAAATTTGTCATTTGGGTTTGTTCCATACATTTAGCAGAGCCTGCCTAATTTTATGCCTTTGGAGGTATCCATGAATTTGTTGTTTGTCTTGCCACAGGAAGGCATGCCACCCTGCTTGTAGATTGTATCCCTCTAATGTTAAAATTCTTTTATTCTTAACATTTATCCAGTTTTTAACCCAAGTCATAATAGCTGCTCTGTAATACAATTCCCAGTAATACAATTCCGCTCTGTAATACAATTCTCTTTCAATAGCGTCCTGCAACAATTTTAGCTTGATTCTAGGGTTTTTCTTTTGCCATCCACTGTTTAGCAATAGAAATTCTGGTCCTAATTGTGGTTGTAAGTCGACCTGTTACCTGTGCAATTTCTCTGTTTTTCCCGATACAATTGTTCCTCCCAGTGTTTCCCAAGGGAACAGATGGGAGTCCTTTTTAATGGTATAGCACATTCAATAAAATAAAATACATACCACTACGTTAATTTCTGAGCAAATGACAGCTATCTTTCCAATGTCTTCCTACTCTACAGAGTGTCGGTTATGGCCTATCCAGTGTGCTGCTCATGTTCAGCATGCTGGAATTTTGCATCGCTGTTTCACTGGCTCACTTCGGCTGCCAGGCAGCTTGCTGTCTTGATGCCCAGGTAAATAGTTGATACTTCGTTAATAGCTTTAGCAGTTCTCACTGTTAAATATTGTAAAGAGGATTGTCCATTTTTCTTCTTTATATCTGCATTCCACCTAATCTGATCTTTTGCTTGTTTCTTTGCTATTACCCTGAACAATAGGTGAGATTGGCTACTCAGCTTTCCAGTAACCTTTATAACTAAGAGAGGTTTGAATTGTGATCCAACATCCTGTGATTTATTAGCGTCTGCATATGAATAATTGGATGATGTGAATTTTTTCCAGCTTCTGTTTTGCTAGAGAGTGAATGTCATGAATATAACACAGTTTGTGTGGTCTCTATAATTCAGTCATGCAGAAGTTAGTGTCTCCATTTTAGAGGGCTCAGTTCTAAATATTATTACTTTAGTAGTGTGACTACATTAATTTAAACTGTCACTCAATCACATTTTCTCACAATGCCACCATTTTTTGAAAAAAAAAAAAAGGCCTTTTTCATTTCTAAAAACATACTTTTATTTTAAATTCTCAGACAAACAGCTGAATACATGACTACCATATGCTACCTAAGAACTACAAATATAGATATAGTAATAAAGCGCTTCTGTCAGCACTACAAAGACCTTTGAAAAAAAATCAGTTGGAAACAATTGAATTACCAACCACATCCCTACATTCTGCATTGGCAAGTTTTGTGTTGGGAGAAAAAGCCATGTCTGTCCTTGTTCTGTAGAAGCGACAATTAGCTTCCTATTGTTCTAATAACAAACATACTCTCAACCTTTCAGAAATGCTTCAGGTAATTTGAGAGGGAGAAAATGTGACAGAACAAAGACTGAAGGGGTTGGATATGATTGGACCTGACAAAAGAGAAGAACTCTAAGAATGTTGTAAGAAGCTAAATCAGCAAAGAGATACCTGACTTGGGGTCCTTGGTGGTCTCTATCTTGGTTGTTTTCTTGGAGATGTTTCATTACTCAAACTAGGTAACATCATCAGTGCAGGTTTATTATTTGGGTAATAAAACATCAGGAAAAAACAACAACGACCAAGCTCAGAGAATCAAGATCCCCTTATTTCAACCCTGAGCTACAAATATTTTTCTTTATTGCTACCCGTATCAGTTCATACCACTGCCAGTAGAAGCCATTTCAGAAACCAAAAAACTAACCTCCCCTGGAGGGAAATGCATCTTCTTCAGGCCTTAAATTGTTAAAATAAGTTAATAATCTGATAGCTTTTGTAAATAAATCATGAGAATATTATTTATTTCTTTATGTTCCTCAATTAAGCTGAAATCTAGAAGATTTAGAACAATACGAATACAGTAACAGTTAATAATCTGATAGCATTTGTGAATAAATGAGAATATTATTTATTTTTTATTTATTTACTTTATTTATGTATTTATTTATATGGTCCTCAATTAAACTGGACCCTAGAAGGTGTACAACAATACAAATGCAGTAACACAAAATATAAGCAATATAAAACTCCAATAAAAACTAAAGCACAAAATAAAATCAGTCCCCAAAGGTCCTCAGTAGAAGCTAGTTTCCTTCTCTTACCAAGTACCACTTTCCAGAGGATCATCCCAGTTGGTACCATCTTTATTTCAGAAGACCATCTATTCCATCCAGAGAACACTCACTGAGGCGGGTGTGTGTGTGTGTGTGTGGTTGTCTTCCTGTCATAACTTTGGTATGTGGGAGTTCCCAAGCAGACATTCTCTGAATGATCAGAAAAAGTTACTTAAATGCCAATCATTTGCCTGTTAATTTATAGAATTAATTTATTATAGAATTCACTATCAGGACTTTGAGCTATCAAAGATTTCAGCCTCTTGGTGAGACTGCCAGCATCACAGTTAAAACATACACAAGTGGAGAACCTATTCCTCCTACCTAGAGTAACAGAGGAGTATTTTTTGTATTGACTATTCTTTTCTGTTACAGCCAACCATGGTTTTTGTGCCTTACCAAGTCGGAGGCGGAGAAGTTGCAGCTGAACCAAATCCTCCTCCTCCACCAACTTACGATGACGTGGTTAACAAATCTCAGTAAAACAAAAGCATCAGGAAGGAATGTGAGAATTGTTGGCAACAAAAGTTTCAGGAGAAGCAATGCATTTCATATTACTTTATTTTGTCCTCCAGCTTACTTGTTTATTTTCTAATTACAGGCTTTAAACACCAAATTAAAAGGTGACAAATTTAAAAGTTCTTTGATTTTTACTTAATAGATATAACACTTCCCTAGAAACAAGAATTCATCCACATATTTATGAGGAAGTACACTCCCTACAGTGGATGATGGAAGCTGTTTATTACTCTCTTGTTTATAGTCTGGATGATGTTTGTTTTTTATGACAAATATGGAATTAAATAGGAGATCTGATGCTACAGAAAAGAAAAACAGCTACTAAAATTAAAACATGTAATTGATATAATACAGATAGTTCTTGACTTATGACTGCAATTTGGACCAGAATATCCATTGCAAAGTGAGGCAGTTAAGGGAATTGGGCCTGATTTATGATCTTTTCTGCCATTGTCAAAAATGTCATCAAAAAAGCAAAACAAAGAATGTTCTTCCTGGGCCAACTCAGAAAGCTCAGACTGCCCAAGGAGCTGCTGATACAGTTCTACAAAGAAATCAATGAGTCTGTCATTTGCACCTTTATAACTGTCTGGTTTGGCACTGCAACCAAACAGAGAGACATAGACTTCAACGGATAGTTAGAACTGCAGGAAAAAACTGCCTTCCATTAAGGACCTGTATATTACATGAGCTAGAAAAATATCTACAAACTTTTCACATGCTGGACGTAAACTCTTTCAACTTCTTCACACAAGATGACACTATAGGGCATTGCATGCTAGACACAAGGATAATTGACCAGGGCAGTACAGGCCATGGCTGCAGCTGGACACCTTCAGCTTGCACATGCTTGCCACCTCCTATGCTAGCCACACCCACACCCACCATTCACTAGGGCTTATCTTTGGGGTAGTGCTTATGTGCATGCTTAAAAATCAGGCTAGGGTTTATTTTTGGAGGGAGGATATATTTTTATGACTATAACTTTGTTGATTGTATCATATTAATTACGTTGTTTTATTTAATATCCTAGTAGGATTTATGTTGATTGCTTATTTAGCATCCTATGACTATCACTGAGTGTTGTACCTTTTGATTTATGATGAATGTATTTTATGATTATGATCATGGTTTCTCACTTCCTTGTATAGATATTGAGAGCTTATGCTCCGGAGACAAATTCCTTGTGTCCAATCACACTTTATCTGGTCAATAAAGAATTCTATTCTATTCTATTTTGTTGTTCTGTTCATGTTCATGTCCCTGTCCCTGTCTCTACTCCTATTGGAGTCCCACCCCCTTTACAACAAATCAACCCTTGCAGCAGGACTTATTACTCTCCTTCTGCTCAACTTTCCCAGATTTAAATTAAGAAAGACAGACAGATTCAAGATAATTTCTGGGGTGCCCTTATGTTGTCTAAAAGTGGATGACAATTTCCGAGAGGATGATTTATGTTGATTCCTCAATGTGGATGAATAGGGATAGAGGTAATAACTTATATCTTAATGTTCTGTCTCACCTTTCTTCTTTCCAAAAGATGAAAGAGTACAAACTCACACAAACACAGGCAGGCAAGCTGGCTCGAACTTCACAGTTAATTCTTTGGAACTGATAATGTCCTTGGCATTCCAACACGCTCTGCCTGCCAAGTCCGAACTGATAACAAGTAAAAAGCTACTTCCAGAAAATTACAAGGCAGACCATAAAATCATTCACAAAGAAAACCTGAAGCAAGATTAAACTTTGTCCCGCACAAACTTCCAGCCGACAACACACCCACTTTTATCCCCTGTGGGGTGTGGCTCAATGACTCAGCTCACTCTCTGACCTTCCCACGCCTCCTATGTTGCTGCTCACGTTTCTTCCTACGACGCTGCTTAGGATCAAGCCAACACTCTTCCTCTTGACTCCCTGTCAGGGGCTGCTCCGATATGCCTTCCTCCTGATTAATCTCAGGCTGTTCCTCTCGGTTGTCTGATGAAACCTGAGGCATTATCAGGGAGGAAGGCATTGCCAGAGAGGAAGGTCCTGGGGAGGAAGGCATTCCCAGTTCCTCCTCCTCATCTTCTGAGTCCTCTTCCTCTAACAGCACAGGCTTGGGAATCGGAGCCACAACACTATCCCTCACTGCAGGGTCCTTCCCCCAAGTCTGACAGTCAGGATGTGGTCTCAAGGGGAAATGGTCATGGAACATCCGTATAAGGTCCAGGGCGTGGATTGTGGAAGCATCCACCCAGGAAAGGGCCTCTGGCCCATCCCCCTGCCTCTCGATCAAATACTGGAACCGCCCTTTCAGCCAGCGGGAATCCCTAATGCCGACCACGTTGCCGTCAACTGCGTCATCTTCACCGGGCACAGGTGGTGGATCATCAGCTGCGGGATGTCGAAGGTCACACGAAGGGGCGTCAGGGACCAAAAGGGAACGGTGGAAGACTGGATGAATTCAGTCTTCATGGAGCGCGGTAGAGTCAGTCGATAGGCTACGGGGTTGATGACCGTCTCGATGGGAAATGGGCCGATGAACCGATGGTCCAGCTTCTTTATCGGGTGGTCGACCTGAAGATGTTTTGTGGACAACCACACACGGTCTCCTACAGCCAGCGGAGGCGTTGCCCGTCGAGAGTGATCTGCAAACCGCTTGTAATCTTCCTTGGCCCATATCAGTTGCTGCCAAACTAACTGCTGAACTGAGTGTAGTTCCAAAAGGAATTCCTGAGTCTCGGTAACAGGGGAATCTAATAGTGTCAATGGAAAGAACCGCGGATGGTACCCCACATTAGCATAAAATGGTGTCATTTGGGTGGAGGTGTGCTGGGAGTTGTTGAATGCAAACTCTGCCAGAGGGAGATAATCAACCCAATTGTTCTGCCGGTGGTTTACAAAACAACGCAAATATTGCTCAAGAATGCCAATGACCTTCTCCATCCCACCATCAGTTTCTGGACAACAAGCACACCTGCACCTGTAACGTGGTCATCAGGCTTTTCCAAAATTGGGCTGTAAATTGTACACCGTGGTCAGAAACTACCCTGTCTGGCAGACCATGGAGATGAAAAACATGCTGCAAGAACAAACGGGCAGTTGTACGATGGCAATTTACGACATGGAATGAAGTGGGCCATTTTTGTCAACATGTCGACCACCACAAGCACAGTCGTAAATCTTGAAGATGATGGTAAATGAGTCAAGACGTCCATGGAAATCGCTCCTCATGGTCTTTCTGGAGTCGGCAGAGGTTGGAGGAGACCAGGAGGCGCACCCATTGCGGCTTTCGCTTGCCTGCACGGTACACAGGACATGACATAGGTGTGGACATCATACCATACTCGAGGCCACCAAAAAGTCTGCGTTACAAGATGGAGGGTCTTAAAAAACCCAAAATGGCCGGCTGCAGAGTTGTCGTGACACTGAGTCATAATAAGGGCTCGAAGCGGCCCCGTGGGTACGTACAACCGGCCCCGATGCTTGAGTAAGCCCTCCTCCAAAGTCCATGGGGATTCGGGTCCAATCTCCCCCACCCTCTGCTGCGACCAAGTGTCTAGGCACTGCGCCTCTCACACCTGAGTCCGCAAGTCCACCGGTTCCTTGACTGTGGCCAGGGATTCTGCTGGCAGCACCATCCACGGAGGAAGGGGGTCCTCGGAGCAAAAGTACTCAGGTTTGCAGGACAGGGCATCCGCCCTCTGATTGTGACCACTGGGGATATAGATCACAGAAAAATTGAACTGGGCAAAAAACAATGACCACCGGATCTGCTGCTGGTTTCAACTTTCGTGCCGTTGACAAATGTTCTAAATTCCGATGGTCCGTCCAGACCTCCACCTTGTGTCGGGCCCCCTCGAGATGATGTCACCAAGTCTCAAACGCAGCCTTGATAGCCAGCAACTCTTTTTCCCAGATGGTGTAATTGCATTCAGAAGGAGTGAGTTTCCAGGAATAATAAGCGCAGGGAAAAAGAGTGGCGCCATCCACCGGGGCTTGCAACAGCACCGCCCCAATAGCCACGTTGGACACATCTGTCTCCACCACAAAAGGACGATGCGGATCAGGGTGCCTCAGGACGGGTTCTGCGATGAAAGCATTCTTGAGGTCCTCAAAAGCCTGTTGCTGCGGGGGGCCCCACTGGAATGGGACCTTCTTTCGAAGGAGCTGAGTTATTGGACCCGTCAGCTTGGCAAAACCCGGGATGAAGGTCCTGTAATAGTTAGCGAAACCCAATAGGCGTTGAACATCCTTCACGCCACGAGGGTGTTCCCAACTACATAAGGCCTCCACCTTACGCAGGTCCATGGCGATGCCTTTGAGAGAAATGATGTGCCCAAGGAACTCAATGGAAGTCTGGAAGAAGAAAAATTTCTCCAGCTTCTCATAAAGTTGGTGCTCCCAAAGGCATTGCAAGACCAGACGAATGTGTTGAAGGTGACTGTCCCTGGACCCGGAATAGATCAAAATATCGTCCAGGTACACCACCATGAACCGATCTAACATATCCTGAAACACATCATTCATCAGGTGCTGGAAGACTGCGGGGGCGTTGGTCAACCCAAATGGCATCACAGTGTACTCAAAATGGCCGTATCGGGTGCCAAATGCTGTCTTCCATTCGTCCCCCTCTCACATCTGCACCAGGTTGTAGGCCCCTCGAAGATCGAGCTTGGTGAAGATAGTGGCCTCCTGCAACCTCTCCAACAACTCCGGAATGAGCGGCAAGGGGTAGCTATTCCACACCGTGATGGCGTTTAGCCGGCGGTAATCACAGCACAAGCGTAAGTCTCCCGTCTTCTTCTTGACAAAGAGGACTGGGGCTGAGAGAGGGGACAACGAAGGCCGGATGAACCCTCGGGCCAAGTTTTTGTCCAAAATGTCCCGTAGTGCGGCCAGCTCGGGCTCAGACATGGAGTACAAACATCCCTTTGGCAGTGGTACATTGGACAGAAGGTCCGCTGGGCAATCATAGGGCCGATGCGGGGGTAACCGGTCCGCCTCCTTCTCACTGAACACATCCGTGAAGTCCGTCAATTCAGGAGGTATGGAGACGGCAGAGGTGGTGATGTCCTGGCCAGCACAGGTGTGGCGGAAGTGGTCCATGCACTGCAGACTCGGAAAAGAAATGGCATTCCGCAACCATGCCACCTGAGGATCATGAATCCTAAGCCAAGCCATGCCGAAGACTAATGGGAAATGGAGGTCTGCGGTGACATAAAAACGGATCGCCTCCTCATGTTCTCCAATGACAAGGCGCAAAGGCTGGGTGGCGAATTTAATGGGTCCTGCAATAAATTCCCGCCCATCAATAGTCTTGACCCTCATTGGAGGTTCTACCGGAACCAAGGGGACATCAAAATGGGCCGCAAAGGCCTGGTCCATAAAGTTAGTCTTGGCCCCCGAGTCCACCAGAGCATTCGCTGGAATCCCTTCCGACTGGTTAGC